TCCTGCCACGTCCCTGCCAGAGCCTGCCAGGGCTGCCACTTCTCCCTCCCCCGGCGGGCAGGGAAGCAGTACTTCCGGAAGGTGGGGGTGGAGGTGGGCGTCCAGGAAGCTCCGGGGGCCTGCCAGCCGCCTGCCACAGGGTTTCGGTTCCGGGGGGGTCCCCAGGCGGGGTGCAGGGTGCTGGCTCAGCACGTAGGCTTCCTCGCCCCCGGCTGCCCCGCCGCCTGCACGTCTCTGCGCCTGGGCCCCCACCTCTGTGCTATCCTCCATGCACCCCAGCTCGAAGCCCCGAGGGACTGCTGTCCTCCACCCCCCGCCAGCTTCCTGCAGGGCGCTCTGGGTCCTGGATCGGACCTCAGTGTCCTCTGTTGCCCATCCGGACACGTGGCCTGTCCCTCGCCCTGGCCTTCCGCCTGCCTGGACCCTGCCGTTTTTGGTGCTGCCGAGTCCAGAGGCCTGTGGGGAGCCCCCTCTCCAAGGCCCCTGGCTTCCATGGCTGCCCAGGACGGTGCTGGTGTCCGGGGCGGTGGGGGGGGGTGCTTGTCCTAGCCTCGGCCGCAGTCAGGCTGGCATTTCCTGTCACCTCCTCTGCCTCCCCCGCCTGCCAGGCAGAGGCCAGAGGAGGGTTGGTGGGGGGTTCCCGGGCTTCCGGCTGGGGGTCCCAGAGAGCAGGCGGCCCTAGAAACCGTGCAGCTTGGGGGTTTTGGTTGGTGGCGATGTCTCATGCTCTTTGGTGGCTGTAGCTGCCGCTGTGTGCAGTCCTGGCGGGGACTCACTCCAGGAGCAGCCGTGCCTTGTCGGGCAGCAGTGGTGATGAGAACGCTCTTCATTTCACCTTTACTAAATGGAGCGTTCAGCTCCCAGCCCCCAGATCTGCCCTCTGAGGCCAGCGAGCTGCTCCGCGCCAGCCCTGGGTGCCACACGTTCCCGGGCATTCTGTCTCTGCCCCGTGGTCTCTGCTGCTGGCCTCCGGGTGTTGCATTTTAGAGTCGGCTTTGTGCCAAGGGTGAGATCGCTCCACCTCCTCTTCCATGCAGCACTCCTGGGTTGGAATCCAGCTGCCAAGGGAGGTGCCTTTGCCCGTGTGGGGGCTGCCGGGGCGTCTCCCCCGCCTGAATTGGGGCCTGCTCTCCTCTCTCTGTCTGTCACTGGAGGTGCTGTGACCTGGGCCGCGCCCTCCTTCCCCAGAGTCCCGGGCCACGCTGGCTGGTGCTGGAGCTGAAGGGGACCGGCGGGTGGAGGGGCGTGAGCTCCTGGGATCGTGGGCCTCATGCACCACAGGTTCTGAGGGTTCCAGACTCGGGGATTTGATTCTGCCACCCAGGGCCTGTCCCCTGAGGCCGCCCGCCCTGCCACCCCTCTGTGCTGGGACGGCCGGGTGGCCACCGGCTCGAGGCTGAGTCTGGGTGTCTGAGGCTGGCCCCAGGGAGCCGCCAGGGCCACAGCACGCCCACGGGAGGGAACGCGGAGGGTCAGACCCGCCAGTGGAGGCCGGCTGGTGACAGCCCTGCGCTCCGGAGCGCGACTGTGTAAGAGTAGCGCCTTGATCTCGCCGTGTGTCGGGTGGGGATGGATGGGCCCGGGAAAGGCGGAGCCAGCACGCAGACCGGGCCTTTTGCTGCAAGGAGAGGATGTTTAGGCGTTTTTTTTGTTTTTTTTTTGCCTTTTCTTTTTAACACTTGCTTCCTGGCCAGAAAGCATCTCTCTCCAGAAGAGTCCAGAAAACACGCCCAGCCCATTGTCGCGGGGCTCCGGGAAGGTGTCTGCTGGGATGTTCTGTGTAAACAGGAAGAGCCCTGGAGTGGGGGCCTGGGGACAGCGGGGCCGTGCAGGGGCATTGCTGGGGGCCCGGGAGCCAGGCGCCCTGAGCAGTGGCTGGACGGGGCCTGCACCGTTAGGCTGGGGGTGGGGCAGGGAGCCGGGGCTCCACCCTCGCCTGGGTGCCACACCCACAGGCTGGCGGGCTGGGGGCTGCCTCCCTGTTTTCTCCCTTTTCTCCCTGATCCCCCCTTCCCTGAGCAGTTTCGACCCCCACCTAACTGACTTCCCTTCCTCAGGGGTTTCAAACTTGAGCAGAGTGCAGGCAGTTTCTTGGAGGCCAGGAAGGAGTTGGGGCCTCCCTCCTCTTTTCCTCCCTCCTTCCTTCCCTCCCTCCATCCTTCTGGCTGGAGCTCTCTCCTGCCGCTCCTCCTCTTCCTGCCCGGGAGAGCAAGCGAGCGACACCCGCCAGCCCAGCTGCGCGGCCGGCGCCGTCTGTGCGGGCCGAGGCCCGAGTCCTCGAGGTCCCTGCGCGGCTGCAGCTATGGGGGCCGGCGGTTCACGGCTGAGACGTGCCTTCCACCCCCGGCCGGCCCCTTCTGCAGGAGTGCTCCCTTGTGGGTGGGCACAGCCGGCCAGCCGAGGACTCCCCTCTCAGGGGTCTGCCCCTGCCGGCCCTCACGTCATGTCCTGGGGACAGCTGGCTTGAGGAGACCAGCCGCAGGGTGGTCTGGCAGGCTGTCCCAGAAGCCCTGCCGTCCCCTCCTCTGACTCAGGGGCCCTGTGGTCACACCCGGAGCAGGGGCTGGGGCGGGGGAGCCGGGAGAATCCAGCAGCCACTTCTCTCCTGGCCCTCAAATCCCCGTCTTGTTCTCGGAGGCCAGGAGGAAAGGTGACTTGCCCAGGGGTGGCCAGGGCCTCAGGGTCAGCCCTGCAGTCTGGGGCCCAGCCTGACTCGGCCACTCCCTGGTGGTGCCCCCGGGCCCTGGCCTCTCTCTGGCGGACAGGTCTGCATGGCCACTTGGTGCAGTGAGTCTCGCCTTCCTGTCCCTTCCGCCCCGAGGTCAGTGGGCTGCTTCTCCGGATTGGGCTGATGGGGAGGGCCCGGCCCCAGGTCACCCTGTGGGCGCTGGCCCTGTAGAGGGCCGTGCCACCTGCGTTTCCCTGATGAGGAAACTGAGGCCCGGAAAGGGAGGAAAACGGGCTCTGGTGTCCCCTTCCAGGGGCGGGTGAAGGTGGGGTGAGGCCTTCCCGGCGTCCTGCAGTGCCTGGTGGCCTGGGAGCAGCTGCAGTTCTGGAGTGCTGACAGTCCCGAGGACTCAGTGACATCAAGGCCGTGAAGGCGTGTCAGACTCAGGTGACACTCGCTCCTGCCGCCTGCTCTCTCAGCCCCTGGCTGCCCCCTGCCCGGCCTTCTGCGCCTGGGCATCCTGCCTCCACGTGGACGCGTTCACACGTGGGTCCCACGTCCTCGCCCGCCGGGAGGCTGGGGCTGATGGGCTGATGCAGCCCTGATTGTCACCAGCATCCGGTCCGGATCCCGTAAGTTTGCATTTCCAACCTCGGTGAAACAGGTTGTTCCCGTTTCGTGGACGGCAAGGTGGCCGGTGGGTCCTGAGGCTCCTTTGCTGGTGGGGTTGTACTCGGGGTTCGAGTGCGGCCAGGCTGGCCCACCCGCCGTGGACCCGTTCGTGGAAGGTGCCTGGTGGAAGGTGGCTCCTGGGCTTCTTCCTGCCCCCGCTGGGAAGGAGGCAGCGTGGGAATGGCGACTGCTCCCGGAGGGGGGTCGGCCTCCGGGCCGGCGCTGGCACAGGCGCTGGGCTCGCCCGAGCTGCGGGACGCAGGCAGGTCCCTGCGGCCCTGGCGCTGGTGTCCTGAGACTCCCTTGCACAGGCGGCAAATGCTGATGCCCTGCACGGGCTTCTTCCCACCAGCCTGGTGCCCAGCGAGCACCTGGACACGGCTGCTCCGGGGCACAGGGAGGGGCAGCCTTCCAGAGGCTGTTGAGGGGGCACCAGGGTGTGTCCCCAACCTGGCACGTGTGGGCTCAGTCATAGCCCCCCCACATGCCTGTGGTCCCGCTCGGCTCCTGGGGAGCATGTGTGATCTCAGGGCGGGAAGGGCTGGGGCCCCGCACTGCAGGTGGCAAGGCGAGGCCAGCGAGGGGGCTGGGGGGGGCAGCCTGGAGCTCCCGGCCCGTGGGAGGGGGCTGTGCCCGTGCCCACCTGTGCGGCTCGTGATGTTGTCCCGGTGGTCTGACCAGTCGTGGGCAGTGGAGTCACCCTGGGGAGCCTCCTCCCTCAGGCTGGGGTGGGGGCCTCATTAAGCGCTAGCTGGGGGCTTTGAAATCCCCGAGATGAAAGCCTGGCGTGTGGGCGTGCCCAGCTCCTCCCTGCCGCTGCGGGCTGCCCCCGTGCCTGGCACACACCTGGGCCCCTCCTCGTGGCCACCCAGAAGCTCCCTACCCACATGGGAAGTGCCGGGTGCCCCCTTCCCACCTTTCTGGTCCTCTCCTGCCCCTGGGGCCCCACGAGACCCAACAGACCCCGGGCCACGGAATCCTGGCTGCCACTGCCGTGGCACCTGAGCAGGCCCAGGCGGTGTGGACTGGCGGTTAGGGCCACCGACTTTGGAGGGGGTCAGTGTCCGGAGCCAGTCCCGGCTCTGCCGTGGCAGCGCTAAAGACTCAGGGCCTTGCTTCTCCCACCCCTAGAATGGGTGATAACAGCACCTACTGCGCGCTCTGCCCCGCAGGTGCACCCGTGCCGAGGCCAGGCCAGCTCCTGGTGCGCAGTAGGTGCTCTGAGAGCATCAGCCCTCTTTCCTCTCGTTATCACTCCCCGGCCTTCACCTGGACCCGCCGTGGGGATGGCAGAGGAGCTGTCCAGTCCTGGCTGGGGAGATTCCTTCCTCTGCTTCCTGGGGGCAGACAGGCCTGGGGTGTGGAGGTGGGCGGGCCCAGAGGGGCATCTTGGGGCACGCCGATGGCAGCCTCTGTCCCAGGCCCAGCCTAGCGCCCGGGCCAGGTGGGGGACGGTGCCTTGGAGGGGAGAACCAGTCACCCCTGGTCTGACCTCGTGTGGGGGTGCCATCTGGACTGGTGGAGCTGCTCTGGGGTGCCCGGGGTGTTCCCCTGGGCCTGTGTGCAGCCTGAGGGGAGCCGGCAGTTGGTGTGGGTTGTGGAGGGGTCCACCCTGGCCGCCTGCTCTGACCCTGCCCTCCCATGGGCTCTTGTCTTGCAGACTTCTCCACCCAGGTGAACTCCTCGTCCCTCAACTCCCCACCGGGGCGAGGCTCCATGGCGGCCCCCTCGCTGCACCCCGCCCTGGGACCTGGCATCGGCTCCTCGCTGGGCTCCCCGGGGCAGCTGCACTCGCCCATCAGCACCCTGAGCTCGCCCATCAACGGCATGGGCCCGCCCTTCTCGGTCATCAGCTCCCCCATGGGCCACTCCATGTCAGTGCCCACCACGCCCACCTTGGGCTTCGGCACGGGCAGCCCCCAGGTGAGTGCGGGGCTGGGGCTGGAGAGGGACAGGGAGGGGAGGGGTCCGGGCTACGCGGCAAGATGGCCACATCATCTTGTGGACCCTCGGTGATGGTGCCCATCCTTTCACCTTTGACCTGAGGGAGATGGCACCTCGGGGAGCTGTGTGCCCAGACAGGGTGTGGGCCCAGGTCTGGCTGGCTCCTGGGCCCGATTGGCAGCTGAGCTTTCTCGCAGCTGGTCCCCAGCCCCGGCGGGGCCCCTCCTGTGCCGGAGGGCTGGGGGCTCCCCACTTCCATGACCAGAGAGCTCTTCGGGGTGGGGGCTCTGCTTTCCTCGGGCCCCTGCCCTCCCCGGGAGCCCTGTGCCCACGTGGGCCTGGGTCCTTCCCTCCTGGCCTCTGCTCACACCCTGCTCATGGTCTCAGTGCCCCACGCCCCAGGGAAGGGGTGTCCAGGCTCAGTGCCCATGCCACACTCCTTGGGTGCCAGGCCTCGGGTGGCCTCGGTGGCAGTGGGTGCTCAGTGTCCTCTGCTCTGTGGATGCCTGGTTGTCTGTGGGGCTCGGTGACCTGCTCTGTAGCTTCTCCAGCATGGTCTGGCTGTTTGGGTGGTTTCTGGGTCAGGAAGCGGCTGGAGCCTGGCAGGGTGTGGCAGAGCCCAGGTCTTGCTAGGGGACCTCGGGGCCTGGCCCACTCCCTTCTCCCTCAGGGAAGGCGCCCTGAGTGCCTCGGTATCCCTGGCCCAGGAGCGCTGCAGGACGGATTTCTACCTGGTTGGGGGGAGCCCCTGTGGACCCCGCCCCCAGGCCCTCCCTCTCTCGGGAGCTCTATTTGGCTTTCCCAAAATAGGTAGGGGTGCCCTCTTCCTACTTGGGGTTTCTGTGTCTGTGTTTGGCCGTTTGTCCCCCAATAGGCGGCCCCGGCGGCCTCCCTGGGCCTGGCCATGTTATTTTTAGCATGGCTGCCCTGCCCCCGTTCTTGCTGGCCGCAGGGTGCCATGCAGCGGGAGGACAGTCAAGGACTCAGAGTGGGCCCTGCCTGTCCCTTGTCCCCCTGGCTGGCACCTACTGGCTCTCAGAGCACCCTGTGGCTGCTGCTGGGCCCCGAGCTGGCTGCCTACCCAGGACACCCGGGGGTGGGTGCCCAACAGGAGCCTGGGGGTCTGGGTCTCTGTTTCGGGGTGGCACTGTGCGCTGTGCAGGGGCCTGTGCCCCAGGGTGCCCACCCGAGGGTGAAGAGACACTCCCAGCACGCTCGGGGTGCCCTTGTGAGCGAGTGGCCCCAGCCCCCTTGAGGGTGGCGAGGGGCCCAGGGGTGGGCGAGGGGCAGGACCCAGTGTGCCCCAGACATTCCCCACTGTCCCCCTGCGCCCGCATGTGGGGCGGCCTGTCTGCCCGCCGTGGCCTGAGGCCCGCGCTTGGCCTCAGGTTCCCTACGACCCGCAGCGGCTTCCCTGGGAGCCCAGTCCATCCTGGGCTTCAGCAGTTTGTCCTGGAAACCTGGGGTTCCTCATTCATGGGAGTGTGAGTAGAGTTTGGGGGGGCGGATGTGCCCCCACCCACAGCCCCAAAACCACAACCGCAGAGTCAGAGTTCCTGGAGCCAGCGAGGCTCTGTGACTTCTGCTGTTGTCGGGGAGGGCCTGGCGCTCGGCCGAGCTCCCCCTGCTCAAGCCCGCGGCCAGGGAGCGTGTCAGCGGTCACCGAGCGAGGGCTGCTGGACCCCTCCCGGCAGGGGGATGGAAGCCTGGGGGCGTGTGGGTGGAGCCCGGCCAGTCCCCAGCGCCTGGCTCCTCACCCGCTAGTGGGGGGGAGCTCCCCCAGGGCAGGGCTCAGGGGAGGTTCCCAGGGTGTCCCAGAGGTCTCCTGCATGTGTCTGGCTCACGGGGTGTGCAGTGAGTACTGGCCGAGGGGACAGGGCCAGCTCCATGCGGGGAACGCTTCCTGAGTGCCCATGTGGTGCTGGGCGCAGAGTTAAGGCCTCTGAGCTCCAGCGAAGCCTCCCGGCAAAGGGCCTACCCAGGCCCGCGGCCCGAGAGGTCTGCAGGAGGAAGTGGGCACATGAGGCTCAGGGCGCGTGGGGGTGGCGCCGATGCCAGGCCCTTGCTGGCCGGGCGCAGAGCCGGAAGGGAGTGTGTGTGTGGGGGGGTCTGCTCCTGCCTGGGTGGACAGTGGGGGCTGGGGGAGGGAGCCCGCGGGGGCTGGGGAAGGCAGGGCGTGCGGGCGCCTGGGGAGGGGATGAGTAGATGGGCAGGAGACCGGGTGGGGCATCCAGGAGGTGGGAACCGAAATAGGTGCCAAGGATAGGAAAGGGGAAATGGGGTGGACCCCACCCTGGCCACACTTGGAGTCTTCGCATTCCAGCGAAAAGCCATCGGGTCCTGCGTCTCCTGGGAGGGGACGTGCGGGAGGAGTGCCCGCCAGACTCGGGCGAGCCCATGGGGAGGGTGCGCCCATGCAGGACGAGGTCCCCAGGGCTGCCCCGAGCTGTGCCCTGAGCTCACTTCTGGGCCTGGAAGGGCAGGAAGAATCTCTGGGGGAGTGGCTGGTCTCCCTGCTCCATTCAGCCTGCTTCAGCGCCACGCCCGGCCATCTGCCGGTGCAGCCCAGGGGAGCAAGGTGGGCGCCCCAGCCCAGGCGTCACTCTCCCCAGACCCCTTGGGCTTCCGGCGTTCAGCCTGGGAGCTGGCTTGGCCGCAGCACAGGCTCTGGGGGAGGGTGACTTGTCTGCCCTGTCCCCTCCTGCCTGGAGGCCCCTTCCCTGATGAGGGCTGCTCCGGTCCCACCTCAGTTTGTGTAGGGCATGTACCAGGCCTAAGGGTCTGAACCTGGGGGGCCGGGCGACAGCAGGTGCCCCTACCCGCCCAGTGTGGCTTGGGACGACCACAGAAAGAGGAAATGTGCGAGTTCCTCTCCGTGGTGCCGCCAGGAGGTCTGGCCCTGCAGAGCTGTGGCCTGGGCTTCCACCACGCAGGGAAGACTGGTGGCCGGGGTGGGTGCTCTTCTGCCCAGCCCAGCCCAGGGGCCTCCAGCTCAGACGTCCTCAGTGCCTCCCCAATGCTAGGTGCCCCATGATGCCTGCCCTTGGCCGCTGCTGCCGCCCTGCCTCTGACCGGACCCAGCCCCGGCTGCCCCGACTTCCTTTCTTTCTCTGGACGGTGCTTGAGTTTCTCTCCCTCTGAGCATTGGGGTGGGCAGCCCTCTGCCGCCTTCCCAGGCCCCCCCAGGCTGCCTCCGGGAGGCCTGAGGGCTCGTTGCAGCTGCGGTTTCTTGGCCGTGCAAGTTGGGGGTCACAGAGCCTGTGTTGACCATGCCGAGCTCCGAGCCGGGCCCTCGAATCTGCTCATCCATGTCTCACATCAGCCCCCAGCAGGAGGACGGACTGGCCGGTTCTGCAGACAGGGCGCTAAGGCCCGGAGTGCTTAGATAATTTCTCCAACGTCACGTGCTAACGGAGGAGGCAGAATTGTCCTGTTAGACAGCAATTGGCCCTTCTGTCTTCCCGGGCCTCAGGGTCACCAGTGGGTCCTGGCGGGCCAGGTGGGTGGGGCCTGTTCCCCCGGTGTGTCCCTGTGTCCGTGCCCGGGCAGGGGTTGCTAGGCGCTGAGTGAACAGCGTGCAGCAGTGGGTGGGCCCAAGAAACACACACTTCTCCCCTGCTGAGCAGTCCTGGGCAAGCACATCTCTGTTGGGGCCTCAGTTTCCCCTTTCGCAGCGTGTGGTGATCGTGGACTCGGCCATCACCTGCTGACTGCTGAGCTCGGCCCCGCCCTGCCGCTCAGCGCCGTGCCACCTGGGCGGCCCCCCCATCCCTGGGTCACAGTGTCCACATCTGGGCCCCGGGGTTTTCCAGGCAGGGAGAGCGGGTGTGCGCAAACGTCCGGTACTTTCTCCGGCCCCTTCTTAGTTCCGGGTGTCCTGCCTGCAGATGTGCACAGGGCCATTTGGCCTCCCTGCTCTGCAGTGGGACCCCCACTCCCGGACGCACTGAGCTGACAGGGCAGGCCGTGGCCTCCCTGCCTCCCACCTGGGGCCCCGGGGCTGAGCACTTGCAGAGCCCCATAGTCCACTCGGGGCAGAGGGAGGCAGGGCGCGGAGGCCAGACCCGGCTGGGGCTGGGAAAGTCGTCCTGGGCACTGGGGCTCTGTGCAGCGAAGTTTGGGTGGCTTCTGCTTTGCTCACTCGAGTACCAGGCGCTTCCTGTCCCGTGAGAAAGGGGGATGGGATCTGGGGCCGGGAAGGAAGGAAGGAGAGGCGAGTCCTGCAGACGAGGTGGCCGGGGTTTGCAGAAGTGGGCTGGGGCCGGACCGGCCGGCTGGCGGGTGCAGTGGGAAGTGCCTCAGGGCCTCCGCTGACTGCAGAGCAGGGTGGAGGCAGAGGAACCAAAACTGCTGTGTCATTGCACGCTGCAGCTGTTGCCAGGGTGACCGGGTGAGTTTCCCACGCTGCCGCTGCAGGGGAGGGGCCTGTGAGAGGCCGGTGGTGTTCCTGCCACTGATGCCCCAGGGCCCAAGGGGGCGTCCCTGCCCTCTCCTGTCACGAGACTGGAGACCCTGACCCTGGGCTGCAGCGTAGTGGGGGCATGTGTGGCTCTGGGGGACCCCGCTCTGCCCCCTCCTTCTGGGCCTGGGCCTCGCCATCCTCATCTGTGGGCTGGGTCCCCCGAGTTGCTGCCTCACTCGGTGTCCAGGGAGCCCCCGCAGGGGCTGGGCACAGACGGGGCTGGCTCACGGGCGGTGGCCCTTACTTAGGTGGAGACGGGCAGGTCGTGAGCAGGGCCCTCCGCGTGGGGAGGGGCCGTGCCAAGCAGTCCTTGGAGGGGGCTGGGGGTCGGCTGTGGGGGTTGGGGGGGTGGCCCCTGCGGGAGTTGGGCCCAGGCATCCAGCCGGCGCTCAGCAGAGCCGGGCCCTGCCCGCTGCTCTGCAGCTGTGTGGCCGGGGGCGCGGCCCTGGCGTCTCTCTGCCAAGGGGTGCAGCGGCCCAGCCGCGCCTTCCCTGTGTGGGCTGCGGGGGTGGCAGGACGTGCCGCCCCCTAAACCCGCCGTCCCCCCGCAGCTCAGCTCGCCCATGAACCCCGCCAGCAGCAGCGAGGACGTCAAGCCCCCGCTAGGCCTCAATGGCGTCCTCAAGGTCCCCGCCCACCCCTCAGGAAACATGGCGTCCTTCACCAAGCACATCTGCGCCATCTGCGGGGACCGCTCCTCAGGTAGGGCTGCCGCGGGCCCCGGGCCGGGGTGCGGGGAGGCAGGGGCCTGGGCCAGCCCCCGTCCGCCCCGTGGGGCCTTCTGTCCGAGGGACCCTGTGTCGGGCAGGGCCAGCTGCTGGCGGTGAGGACAGAGGGGTGCCCAGGGCTCTCGTCAGGGCTGTGCCGGGTCTGGGCCCCCACGTCGTGCCCCTCAGTGGCCCGAGAGGCAAGAACGGTGCCCGGCCCGTAGCAGGGCGTTAGCTCAGTCGCAGAGAGACAGCGCCTCTCGGGGCCGGGATTGGGCCCTCGGCTTCCTAACCCCGCGGTGGAGCCCGAGGGCGAACCGCCTCTGGGAGGACAGAGGCCGAGGCCGGGGCCTGGGGACCTCGAGGGCCCTCCCCGGGCCACGGAAGCCTGGCGCAGCAGGCCGTGGGGGGGTGGCCGCTCACCAGCCCCGCCGCCCCCCAGGCAAGCACTACGGCGTGTACAGCTGCGAGGGCTGCAAGGGCTTCTTCAAGCGGACCGTGCGCAAGGACCTGACCTACACCTGCCGCGACAACAAGGACTGCCTGATTGACAAGCGGCAGCGGAACCGGTGTCAGTACTGCCGCTACCAGAAGTGCCTGGCCATGGGCATGAAGCGGGAAGGTAGGCCGCCGGCGCGGGGTGGGCAGGAGGGTGGACAGGGGTCCAGGCTCTCCCCCCACCCCCCCAGCCAGCACACTCCCTGGGGCAGACCCACGAGGCCTCCGTGTGTCCCAGCTTCCCTGGCATCCTCAGAGTCCAGCCCGGGGGTTTGCAGCTGGTGGGCTGCTGCGCATACCTCTGGAGACGGGGCGCTCACTCCCTGCCGAGTTGCTGCTCTACGGTCGGCAGTGCCCCCCATGGAGTGACGGCTGGCCCCCAGGCCTGTGCACTCAGGCTGGAGCCCACAGAGCCGGTGTGCGTGGGGGTCGCTTAGCGTCAGGGGCCCGGGTGGGAGGCACCTTGCTTTTCTCTTACGAGGCAGGGGCCTCGCAGGGCCAGCCCCTCCGCTCCCAGTGACGTCTTCACTGAGCTCCTGCTGTGTGCCAGGTCGGGAAACTGAGGCCAGCGGGTTCAGGCCTTTTTTAAGGTCACATGCTGTGCTGGAACCCTGGCCTTGGGCTCACGCCCAGGCCTTGTTCCTTTCGGCAGTGAGAGGGCAGAGGAGTGTGTGCCCAGCCGGGGGGCGTGGCCCGGCCCAGTGCCTGTGGGCACCCCATGTGGTTGTGCGTGGGGGGGCGTGCCGGGAATGGTGAGGGTGGCATCGTCCCTGGAAGATGGAGACTGCAGCAAGAGCAGGTGTGGGGTGGGCAGGAGACGGGGTGTGCTCAGGTTGGAGACTGGCCCGTCCTGGGGTGGGGGCCCGAGGCTTGGCCAGCGGGGGAAGGGGGGCCCTGAGGCCTGGGGGCTGACACCCCTGTCCCATGCAGCGGAGCTGCAGTCCCAGGGCTGGGGGACCGGCCCTCCCTCGTCGCTGTGTCTGGGTCTCATTAGGAGCTCGCTGTGTGTTGGGCCACGTGGGCACCCACTGCCTGTTCCACACACGTGTTCTCTTGCTCACCTTGGGTCTTGCACACGGAGAAACGGGGTGCCTCAGGGCCGGTGCAGGGTGGGCCTGGGCCACTCCCCAGTCTGCCTGACCCAGAGTCTCTGGGCCCCTCTTCAGCCTCCCCCCTGCCCCTCTGTCTGAGAGGGGAGCCTGGTGCTGCGGCCCACCCGCTTGGCGGCACGAGGCCGGCGGGACCTGATTTATGGCCCGGGAGATAAATACCTGCTCCCGCCAAGGGACCCACCTCCCCTGTGTCTGCAGCTGGATTTATGAGTCACGAAAGTGCAGTAAAAGCTCCTGCCGAGCCCTCGTGCCCCAAACACACAACCACAGCGCTTGGCCTCGCCAGCTGTCGAGGGTGATTCTTCGTGGGCGGCAAGGAGGGGCGAGGCCCCCGTGCCAAATGGGCTCTGCCGCCCCAGCCCTGTGCTCGTGTGCACGGGGCCTCTTCCTGCCCCCCGGGTGTGTGGGCTGCACACCAAGGAAGTGACAGGGGCCCGGTGCAGCTGGGGTGCCCGCCCTGCAGAGATGCCCACCGCAGGCTGAGTGGCTGGGAGGGCTTGGGAGGCACGTGCCCGGTCCTGCCTGCGTCCAAGTGCTGAGCAGCGGCCCTTGGCCCCAGACAGGTCCTGAAGCACAGAGCTCGTCCTCACTCCCCTCCCGGTCAGATCAGTGCAAAGAGGACTCCCTGGGGGCGGTGGGCACGGCTACTGGCTGTGCACGTTGGGCAGCTCGGCAGTCCTAGGGTGGCCACGGGGCCAGGTTTGCCGACCCAGAGTGCCCTTGGCCCAGAGCACACAGGATGGGGGCTGCTCTAAGTGCCAGGCCCGTGGTGGGCAGCTGCACCCTGGAAACTGAGGCTGGGCTGGTGCTGGAGCTGGGTGACCAGCTGGGTGCGCAGGTCTCCCTGTGGGAGGGGCCGCCTTGGCTCCCGGCAGCTGGGGTCCCCACCCCTGCCTGCCCAGCTAATGAGGGATGCCACAGGCCGATAGCATCTCCTGTTGGGCAACAGCAGGGGCCTGCTCACACAGGCAGCCACCGGGAGGGACTCGTTCCGCAGCATTCCCGGGGCTGGGGGTGGGCAGAGGCCGGTGGGAAATGCCACGGTGGGGCCCTGGCCCTCTGCCAGGCCGAGCCTGGGCCTGTTTGCTGAAGTGGGCGGTGGCAGGGCTGGGGGGCCTGCAGGCGCACCCTGTCTGATGGGGAGGCAGGCCTCACTCTTGGGGGTTCCCGTTGTGCTGGGAGAGATCTGGCTCCCACCTGGGGGGCACTGGCCTGGACTGGAGAGGCCACCCGCTGCCCCCGTCCCTGCTTCCTTCCTCCTCCCCCAGGAAGGCCACTCCCCGTTTCCTTCCTGCCTGCCTTCGCTGCCTGTGCCCCATCCCCTGGCTCTGAAGGCCTGGGGTGCGGAAACAGCAGTGTCTGGCATGTGTATGTGTGTGTGTGCAGGTGTGTGCCTATGTGTGTGCCTGTGTGTGCAGGTGTGTGTGCCTTGTGTGCATGTGTGTGCCTGTGTGCATCTATGTGTGTGCATGTGTGTGCATGTGTGTGTGCCTGTGTGTGCCTTGTGTGCATGTGTGTGCGTGTGTGCCTGTGTATGCCTATGCGTGTGCATGTGTGTGCAGGTGTGTGCCTTGTGTGCATGTGTGTGCATCTATGTGTGTGCATGTGTGTGCATGTGCGTGTGCGTGTGTGTGCATGTGTGTGCCTTGTGTGCATGTGTGTGCGTGTGTGTGCGTGTGTGCCTGTGTATGCCTATGCGTGTGCATGTGTGTGCCTGTGTGTGCATGTGTGTGCATGTGTGTGTGCATGTGTGTGCATGTGTGTGCATGTGTGTGCATGTGTGTGTGCATGTGTGTGCCTGTGTATGCCTATGCGTGTGCATGTGTGTGCATGTGTGTGCATGTGTGTGCATGTGTGTGCCTGTGTGCCTGTGTGTGTGCATGCGTGTGCATGTGTGTGTGCATGCGTGTGCATGTGTGTGTGCACGCACATGCACAGACTTGGGTGACCCCATGGGTCTCTGCTGGGGGGAAGAGCCCGGCTGGCTCCCAGTGCCAGCCCTGCCACTTTCTGGCCCCTCACCCTGCCTAGGGTCCCCCGCAGGCTTGTTGAGGAATGTGGCAGAGGATAGCGCCGTGTGTGGCTGAGGGTGGGGTTGAAGAGCGGTGGCCACGGCGTGCCTGCGTGCGTGCATGTGTGCGTGTGTGTGCATGCACAGCTCCCGTGCTCAGACGCCTGTCCTAGGCGGAGTCCCTTGGGGGAAGGAAGGCCACCTCCGCTGGTTGGAGGTGGCAGCTGGCCATGTGGCTCTGGCTCCAGCTGGGCCTTCATCGCTGCAGCCTTACGAAGAGTTGGGTGGGCCAGGGCGTTGAGTGCGAGTTCAGTCCTGCTGTGCTGGGCCAGCCCTGGGCTGCACAAGGGACGGGGCAGAGGGGAGACCCTCTCAGGCCGAGGGGTTGCAGTGCCAGCAAGTCCCGATGTCGGGGCCGCTATGCCAGGGGAGGGGCCGGCCGGCTGGGGTGGCCGGGTGGGGGGTGCTCCTGGCCTCCCTGCCTGCCCTCCCGTGCGTCCCTCTGGGTGCCCCTCCGCCCCTCCCCGCCCGCCCGCCCGCCCGCCGCACTCTTGGCCGGGGATAAGGAGGCCGGGTATTTACAGACGCTCCCGCCCGAGGCTTCCCGGCGCCAGTGGAGCATAAGTCAAACACGAGCGTCTGAAAGGTGATTGAGCTGGCAGAAGGCAGCTCCCGCTCCCCCTCCCCGCCTCTATAAATGAGACGACAGTGTTTGCGATGATGCGGCTCGGCTGCGGGCCCTTCACAGCTTCAAAGCGCTTCACAAAACATTCGCTAATTAATTCTCGGCGCCCCGGCGGGGGAGGCAGGTGCTGAGGAGCCCCCGGCGCCCAGCTGCAGGAGCCCGGGGATGCCCGGCAGGGGCCCCTCCCTCAGGCCACCCCCGTCCGTCTGGGGCTCCCCGTGCCCCGAGACTGTCTTCGAGTGGGAGAACATCCCTGGATCCGGGCCAGGGCACGAGGAGCAGGGGGGTGTGGCCCGGTGGCCGCGGTGACAGAGCCCTGAGCATCTCGAGGTGTCCTGTGTGCAGGTGGCGTCCTGCCGCACTAGGGTGACAGATGAAGCTGGGGCGCAGAGAGGGCAGGGGCTTGCCGGCGGCCACACAGTGGGGAGCAGGCTCGGAGACCGGGGATGTCTGGTCTTGAGAGCGCAGCCATGCCCCTGGGGCTCCCTGAGCCTCAGTTTCCCTGTGGGTGAGATGAAACAATTGAGCTAAAATGTGCCTCTCAGCCGTGTCCCGGCACTGGGGCTGTAGAATGCTGCCCAGAGACCTCGCGGTCTCAGGGACACGGGTCCCGGCGGCCCCGGTGCTGGCGGAGACTAGCCTTGCAGCTGCCTCCCTTGGGATGGGCTGCTCAGCGTCGGGTTGGCTGTCCTGGCCCACGACTGTGCACACAGGTGACTCAGGGAGTGACCCTACCCCAGACAGACACTGCCTGGTGGAGGGGTTGTGGGTGCCCAGCTGCGGGGGCCGGAGCCTTTGCAGTCAGTCCTCGCTGTCTTCCCGCCACCCCCGGCCCCCTGCCCAGCCCCCACCTGCTGCCGGGCTGTTGAGAAGCAGGCCTGCAGAAGGCCACTGGGCCGCCTGGCTCCTCGGAGGCACCGACAGTGCTCCCGAGTCTGTCCCTGCGTCTGGCTGTGTGGCGGGAGGTCCCTCCCTGCAGCCGGTGGACCCTCGGGATGCAGTCGGCACAGGCGGTTGGGGCATCGGGATGCAGTCGGCACAGGCGGTTGGGGGCATCGGGATGCAGTCGGCACAGGCGGTTGGGGGCATCGGAGCAGGACCGCTGCAGAGCCATGGGCGGCTTCGGGGGAACCAGGCGGGGCTGGGGGACCCTGGGGCCCGCACGGGGGAGCCCTCGCACCCTGGGCCTGGGGGCGTGAGGGGCGGGGGGTGCTCAGCAGGAGCCTTGGCTTAGGGGGAGTGGCTGCTGAGCCCGTGGCAGGGCAGGGCAGGGCACCAGGGCGAAGATGCCCTTCCACCCCGTGCCTCCTGCCGCTCCTCGCAGCTGCCACTCCCGTCTAGAGGTGGAGGTGGCCCCAGCTCTGGCCTCAGAGCCAGGACCAGGGAGGTGGCTGGTCTCTTGAGAACCGGCACCTTGGAGGACCTGAGGCTGCAGGACCCTGGGAGGGGCCCGGAGGAGCACAGGCGGGCCCCACCCCCAGGCCCCGACCAGGGGGAGGAGGGGCGTGAGCTACAGGAAGGAGGGTGGGGCCTGTGTCCGCATCCCGGGCGAGGAGCTGTGCAGGGAGGGGTTTCTAGGGGCGAGTGGGGAGGTGGGGGGTGTGGGCTGGAGACCCCGGGCCCTGTCACGTTCCTGGCTCTGCCGTGCCGTTGCTTGGGCAAGTCGCTCTGTCTGTCTGAGCCTCGGTTTCCTCCTCTGCACTGCGAGGCTCTGGGTGCAGGTGGGAGCAGCAGAGGAAGGCAGCGGTGGGGTGGGGGCCCGAGCCCCGCTCAGGGCCGTTGCCAGGTGCAGGGCTGGCCGGAAAGGGGGACGGGCTCTCTCGGAGCTGCTGCGTGGGCCGGCTGTGGGAGCGGGGTGGGCGGTGCCCGGGCCCTGGGCGCCAGGGACGTGGGGAGCAGCGCCCACTCGCTCCAGCTGTGGCTGGGGTGGAGCACCTGTTCCCCCTCTTTGGCAGAGCCAGCATCACGGGGGACACGGGGCTCTGGGGTGCTGGACTCGGTGCTTGCCCAGGTGTGACTGCACCTCCAGAGCCCCCAGAGCGCCCCCTGCACTGGCTCTTCACCGGCGCGGTGCCCGGTTCCCCGCGGGAGCCAGCTGCGCGCTGGGCCTTTGCACATGCCCGAGCCTCCGTCCCATCATTACCTCCTCTTCCGGTCTCATCACCGCTTCTCCCAGGAAGCCTGCCTGGCTCTCCCTGAGTCCATAGACTGCTGAAACCTTCTCACTCCGTGTCGGGGTCCCTGGTGAGCCGTCAGCTCCCTTCTCAGAGCACACGGCCAGAGGGGGCAGAGGTGGGCCGGGCTCTGGTGGGGGCATCTCCCTTGCGGCCCTGGCGGGGCCCCGTGGCTGGGGACTGATCCAGCCTCCCATGTGGCCCTGGTGGGGACCCGTGGGTGCTGGCCCCTTGGCTGGGGACTGACCAGGCCTCCCGTGTGGCCCTGATGGGGACCCCTGGGTGCTGGCCCCGTGGCTGGGGACTGACCAGGCCTCCCGTGTGGCCCTGGTGGGGACCCCTGGGTGCTGGCCCCGTGGCTGGGGACTGACCAGGCCTCCCGTGTGGCCCTGGTGGGGACCCGTGGGTGCTGGCCCCGTGGGTGGGGACTGACCCGGCCTCCCGTGCAGCCCTGGGGGGACCTGTGGGTGCTGGCCCCGTGGGTGGGGACTGACCGGGCCTCCCGTGCGGCCCTGGGGGGACCTGTGGGTGCTGGCCGCGTGGCTAGGGACTGACCGGGCCTCCCGTGCGGCCCTGGGGGGACCCCTGGATGCTGGCCCCGTGGCTAGGGACTGACCAGGCCTCCTGTGTGGCCCTGGTGGGACCCGTGGGTGCTGGCCCCGTGGCTGGGGACTGATCCGGCCTCCTGTGCGGCCCTGGCAGTGACCTGTGGGTGCTGGCCCCGTGGCTGGGGACTGACCGGGCCTCCCGTGCGGCCCTGGTGGGGACCCCTGGGTGCTGGCCCCTTGGCTGGGGACTGACCGGTCCTCCCTTGTGGCCCTGGTGGGGACCCGTGGGTGCTGGCCCCGTGGGTGGGGACTGATCCGGCCTCCTGTGCGGCCCTGGCAGTGACCTGTGGGTGCTGGCCCTGTGGCTGGGGACTGACCTGGCCTCCCGTGTGGCCCTGATGGGGACCCGTGGGTGCTGGCCCTTTGGCTGGGGACTGACCTGGCCTCCCTTGTGGCCCTGGTGGGGACCCGTGGGTGCTGGCCCTGTGGCTGGGGACTGACCGGGCCTCCCTTGTGGCCCTGGTGGGGACCCGTGGGTGCTGGCCCTGTGGCTGGGGACTGACTGGGCCTCCCGTGCGGCCCTGGCGGGGACCCCTGGATGCTGGCCCTGTGGCTGGGGACTGATCCGGGCTCCTGTGCGGCCCTGGGGGGACCCGTGAGTGCTGGCCCCGTGGCTGGGGACTGACCCGGCCTCCCTTGTGGCGCTGGTGGGGACCCGTGGGTGCTGGCCCCTTGGCTGGGGACTGACCAGGCCTCCCTTGTGGCCCTGGTGGGAACTGTGGGTGCTGGCTCCGTGGCTGGGGACTGACCGGGCCTCCCGTGCGGCCCTGGGGGGACCCGTGGGTGCTGGCCCCGTGGCTGGGGACTGACCTGGCCTCCCGTGCGGCAGCCGTGCAGGAAGAGCGGCAGCGCGGCAAGGAGCGCAGCGAGAACGAGGTGGAGTCCACGAGCAGCGCCAGCGAGGACATGCCGGTGGAGAAGATCCTGGAGGCGGAGCTGGCCGTGGAGCCCAAGACCGGGGCCTGCGTGGAGGCGAACACGGGGCTGCACCCCAGCTCGGTGAGTCGGCGCTGCGCCGTGGGAGCCCCCGCCTCGCCTCCCTCCCTCGCTCCTGCTCCTGCCAGCCCGTGAGCTGGAGGGTCCCGGGGTGGACCTGGCTCACTTCCTCCGGGCCACGCGGGGTGGTCCTCCTCCGCCCAGCCCACCTCCCGGTCCTCAGTGGGGTCGGGGCCCAGGAGCGGCCTCCAGCCCTGCAGCTGCTCCCTCCGCGCCTTGGCCGCGTCCGCTGGGGCCCTGGACGCCCGTGTGCACCGTGGGGCTCAGCCTCTCCGCGTGCGGAGGCTGTCGCTGCCCGAGGGCCCCTGCTCCGAGCCCGCCGTGGGCAGCCGTTCACTCCAACGCTGGCTCAGCTGCAGCCGGTTCACTCCAAGGCTGGCTCGGCTGCAGCCGGGTGGCCCGGGGCCGGGGGCTTTCCCCGAGCTCCCGACCCCCGTCAGGTGGCACGAGGAGGCTGCCTTGGTTGCTGCTGAAGCAGGAAGCAGCTCCCGGCCCCCTGTGAGTGCCCGGTGCAAACCCACCGGCGCTATGCCCAGCCACCCAGCCCCTCCCCAGTCCTGCGGAGGGAGGACAGGGGAGCTGCCAGGTGTCGTGATGGAGCAGAAACTCTGTAAGAAAGATTGGCAGGTGGACAAAGGGTTGCCGAGTTTTAATTTTGTCGAGTAAGGACGTTATTTGCGGGAAGAGACCCTGCTGTCAGCTCCCTCCGTCGCTCCGGGTAGGTTCGGTGGTTCAGACCACAGGGGTGGCAGGGCTTGCTCCGAGTTGGGGTGCGTGTCCGCCCCTGCCTGCCCCCCCGGCCCCCTGTGTCTGTCTCACGCTGAAGGCTCCTGCCGACAGGCTGCATCCTCCTTGGGGGACGGCCCATGGGCCCAGAGAGGGGTGACCCACCCACATGGCGGCTCCAGTATGGGCTGGGCCTGGCCTCCGCGTGGGCGGGCGCCCTGGACACTGGTTCCCAGGGAGGCGGGAGAGCATCGCGTCTGCGCTGGGGGAGGCCCGTTTGGTCTCTGGTGAGAATCAGAGGCTCAGAGAGGTTTGGTCCCTTGCCTGAGGCCACACAGCGGAGGTGGAGCTGGGCAGAGCTGGAGTCCCACTGGGCCCCTCCCCACCCATGGAGCCCCTCCAGGCCTAGCCCCGCTGGGACAGGCGCCCCCACTCCCCACGCCACCCCTGGCCGTCTGGCTCCCCAGCCCGCGTCTGTTCCCCGTCCTATCTGCGCCTGCTCTGGGTGGACGGCGCGCGGGGACCGGTGTGCCACTTCTGGAGAGGCCGGGGCCAGCGCAGAGGGGCTCAGAGCTCTCCTTCCCTCCGGTGGCCCCGCGCGTCACCTGGGCCTGCTCTGGGCTCCGTGCCGGCTTCCCAGGGTGTGGCCGGCAGTTCCCTGGGGACACGGCCCCCGAGCAGAGCCGCCTGCTGCTGAGCTCCGAGGCTGTCGTCACGGACTGCCCATGTCCCCCGGGGTGGGGGTGGGAGGCGAGTGCTCAGGGCTGGTTTTCCCAACGTGCCTCTGTCTCCCCCGCCCCAACGCGGCTGCCCCGGGGCCCCTCTCCACCGGGCTGGGCCGTCCCTCTGGGGGCTGGCGTTCAGCAGGTGGACAGGCAAGGAGGGCAGGCAGATTCCAGCCTCTGAGTGACAGGAGGGGAGACTGAGGCTGAGTGTGGAGCCTGCTCTGGTGGTCTTGGGGCCCTGGGCACAGAGCCTGGCGCCCGGTGAGAGCTGGGGCTCTGGCGCGGCTCGGGCAAGGTTCGGCGAGGAGCGAGTGAGTGAGCGGCGTGTGTGGAGGGCGGGCTGAGCCCTGGTGGCCGAGGGGTTCCCACCCCTCCGTGCTGCTCTTCCAACTCGAGGGCCCGGGGGCTGCTGGGCCTCCGTGTCGACATCCCGTGCTGACATCTGCGCACGCCCGGCAGGCTGCGGTGCCGGTCCGTCGCGGGCCTTCCCTCGGGGCTGTGTGCAGACGGCGCGTTGCCGGCGAGCAGGTGGTTCCCGTCAGCGGCAGCGGGTTCCTCCCGCAGGAGCACCTGGTGTGCGCCTTCCGGGACTCGGAATCCCCATCCCGCCTTCCTGTCCCCCTGTCCCAGGACCCAGTGGCCCCAGCCCCGCCGGCTGCGAGCTGGGGAGGGAGCGCCCTCCTGCGCTGCCCGCCCTGGTCCCCGTGACCGTGGGAGTGGCCCAACAGTCCCTCTGGCTGGGACTTCCCAGGATGGACGCTGCCGCCCCGTCTCTGTGCCCGGGGCTGGGGTCTCGGCCAGCCGTGTGCTGCAGCCCTGCCCGCAGAAGGGCCACCGTGACCATCATGGCTCCTCCCACCTCCCTGTGTCATCACGTGGCACTGCAAGCCCTGCGGCTTGGAGCAACACACACGTTAGGTCTCAGGGTTCCCGAGGCCGGAGACCCGGGACCGGCCCTCTGGGCTAACGCTCCCCTGGTGGTGCTGGGGGGGGGGGTCTGTCGCGCCTTCTCCAGGGTCTGGAGGCCACCACGTGCTTTGGCTGGTCCCCCCGACCCATTTATGAAGCCGGCAGCATTTCCCCCCGTGACCCCGCCCCGTCATCTCCTCCTGCCTCCCTCCCGGAGGGGCCCATGTGCCCTGGGCTGCCCCGTAATCCAGGGTGACCTCCTTTCTCGAGGTCCGTGCCCTGATCACACCTGCGAGGGCTCCTGTGCGGTGTGGGGTCACACGTTCCCGGGTCCCCGGGAGTGGGACGGCGTGTCTTTGGGGCCATGTTGGGCCCCTGTGAGGGGGCTGCGCTCTCCGAAGAGCCGTGGCTCCTGGCTGAACACACTGCCCCGTCCCCCCGCCGCAGCCCAACGACCCCGTCACCAACATCTGCCAGGCGGCCGACAAGCAGCTGTTCACCCTCGTGGAGTGGGCCAAGCGCATCCCCCACTTCTCGGAGCTGCCGCTGGACGACCAGGTCATCCTCCTGCGGGCCGGTGAGTGCGGGCCGCCGGGCAGGGGGCATGCAGCGGGGACGTGGGGCCGGGCCTCACGGGGCGGTGTGCGGTGTGTGGTGCGGGGTCTCTCGGAGAGGTGCAGACGTGAGGGGCCGAGGGGGTGGTCGTGCGTGCTCTACGAGGCTTTCCTTCCCACCGTTCCTGGGCAAGGATCGCGATGCGCGTAGTGGTGCCTGGAAATGGTTGTTCTGTGCTCAGCACACTCCACGGGACACGGTGGCAGGGATGGTGGATGGGGGGAGCATGGGCTTTGGGGTTTGGGGTTGGGCCTGCCGTGGAGGCCCAGATGAGCAGGCCACCCCCCGACTTTCCTCACCTGTAAAGGGGGTGTCAGGGATGTGCAGATTGGAAGGTGGTTTCTGCTTAGTGACTGGCAGGTGGCTGTGAGCCCCGGTCCTTAGTGCAAGTTCCTGCCGGGAAGCTGGGGGCACAGGCAGGTGCAGGGGGACACGGGCAGGTGCAGAGGGACACGGGCAGGCTTGGGAGGACTTGGGCAGGGGGACACAGGTACAGAGGGACACGGGTAGGTGCAGAGGGACACGGGCAGGCTTGGGAGGACTTGGGCAGGGGGACACAGGTACAGAGGGACACGGGTAGGTGCAGAGGGACACGGGTAGGTGCAGAGGGACACGGGCAGGCTTGGGAGGACTTGGGCAGGGGGACACAGGTACAGAGGGACACGGGTAGGTGCAGAGGGACACAGGCAGGTGCAGGGGGACACGGGCAGGTGCAGAGTGACACGGGCAGGTGCAGGGGGACACAGGCAGGCATGGGAAGACTTGGGCATGGGGGGACACAGGTGCAGAGGGACACGGGCAGGTGCAGGGGGATACGGGCAGGCATGGGAGGACTTGGGCATGGGGGGACACAGGTGCAGAGGGACACGGGCAGGTGCAGGGGGATACGGGCAGGCATGGGAGGACTTGGGCACAGGGGGACACCAGCAGTTACAGAGGGACTTGGGCACAGGGGGACATAGGCGCAGGGAACTTGGGCACAGGGGGACACAGGTGCAGGGGGACATGAGCCGGTACAGGGGGACATGAGCACAGGTGGACATGAGCAGGCATAGAAGGACATGGCGCAGGGGGACACAGGCGCAGGGGGACATGGATAGGTGCAGGGGGACACGAGCACAGGTGGACACTGGCTGGCACAGAAGGACATGGCGCAGGGGGACACAGGCACAGGGGGACATGGATAGGTGCAGGGGGACACGAGCACAGGAGGACACTGGCAGGCACAGAAGGACATGGCGCAGGGGGACACAGGCGCAGGGGGACGTAGGTGCAGGGGGACACGAGCACAGGTGGACACTGGCAGGCACAGAAGGACCTGGCGCAGGGGGACGCAGGTGCAGGGGACATGGGCAGGTGCAGAGGGACATGGTACAGGGGGACACGAGCACAGGAGGACATGGGCAGGCACAGAAGGACATGGCACAGGGGGACACAGGTGCAGGGGGACACGGGCAGGCACAGAGGGACGTGGACCAGGACGTCGGGGGCCGGAGTGGCGCTCTGAGTGGGGCGGGCAGCCGAGCCCACAGCGTTGGTGGGTCGCTGGCCTCTGACGGCCGCGTGTGGGGCCGGCCTGCGCACCCCTCTCACGTGGGTGCTGGCCGGGGTCTCCCTGCAGCAGTGGGCGGTGGTCCCGTCCCTTCACGTCAGGGCTCGCGGGTGACTGGGAAGCAGTCCCATGATGTCCCTGGGGTGGGCAGTCTTGGCTCCCACCCCTCGGCCTCCCTCCGGGGAGCTTTGTAGCTTCCTGCCCCAGGTGGCCGCTGCGGCCTCGCCCCGCCCCCGCCCCCCCCCCCGGCCTGCCTCTCGCCGCTGGCTGATCGGATCTGGTGGCCCCACCCAGACGTGTCCTGGCTTTGGTGGCTAGTCCTGGGTCTGGAGCTGGGATCCCTGCGTCTAAGTCCCAGCCCCACGCCTGTGAGCGTTTGACCCAGGCCGAGTCACTCTGTGCCTCGGTTTCCCCATGTGTCCCACCTGCAGGGGCTGGTGACATTGTTTCTTGGGCAAAGCACAGAGTGGGCACTGTCTTAGGGCTCTGATATCCCCCCACCAGGTGGTCTCCCCACGTCCCTGTAGCGCCCCAGCCCAGGTCCGGCTTGGCCGTGGGGAGTCTGAAGCCCCCGCCGGCCGGGCAGCTGGAGGAAGCCTGGGTCGGCCGAGGACAAGGTCCGCCTGGCCGGTATTGGCAGACGGGGCGCTGTGCCCTCCTCCACGGGCTCAGGTCTTGGGGTCTTGGGGAAGCTTCCAGCTGGCGGGCCGCGCGTGGGCACTGCCGGGCCCTCTGTTCGGGGGTAGTGATGGAGAAGGGGCTGAGGCCCAGCTCTGGCCAGTGCCGGGTGGGCCGGGTGCTCGCTCAGCTTCCCCCTCTGTGAGCCAGAGCTGACACCTGCTTCTAGGATCGCAGTGGGGACGGAGTGGGGCGATCCGTGTGATGCTTCAGCCCCAGGCCCCTTTCAGGCACTCGGGGGTGTTAGAAATTATCGTTGTCATCATCGAAGATGATTTCGTGTCGTCCGGCTTACGGGAGTCGTCACAACATCTGTGCACATAAATCGTTGGAGGCTTTTCCCCCTTTGGTGCCTGCTCTGCTCTGTCTCTGCAAACACACCGTGTGAAGAGGGAGCCGGGCTGGCCGTGGCTCCGCCGTGCCTGGCTTCAGTTTACACGTGGCTATTCCGTGGCACCCACGGGGCACACGCTGGTCTCAGAGAATTTGCTCCTGGGGCCAGCTGGCCGCGGTGGTTCTGTGGCCACCCCAGGGAGACTCCCCGGCAGCTCTCCCACAGGCTCCAGGCACGAGCGCCCCGTGTGTGCAGGAAGCAGCTTCTGTGTGCACACGAGTGCGTGCGGGACTTCTCAGGGCCTTTACTGCACCACGTGCTCTGGGGACGGAAGAGGCACTTCCCGAGCGTAGGCGCTGGGCGGCCTCTTCTCGGTGGAGCGCTTCCTGGGCTCGGGGTTCCAGGGAGCCCAGGGGACGGGGCTCTGGCCGGCTGCCTCTGGGGTGCGACCAGGGGCCGGGGCAGGGCGGGCCGTGGGGCCGTGACCTCGAGTGACCGTGTGCCTCCCCTCCCCCAGGCTGGAACGAGCTGCTCATCGCCTCCTTCTCGCACCGGTCCATAGCCGTGAAGGACGGGATCCTGCTCGCCACCGGGCTGCACGTGCACCGGAACAGCGCCCACAGCGCAGGGGTGGGCGCCATCTTTGACAGGTGGGGGTGGGCGCCGGGAGGGCGTGTGGGGCCCCCGCAGCCCGCTCACCCCTGCCCGCTGTCACCCCGCGGTCCGAGCGGGCCACGGGCGGGGAGACCGGAAAGCGCGAGGGAGGAGATGAGATCGCCTTCGCGGTCTGGCATCGGGGGTGGCCTGCCACACGCCCCGGTTTCCTGATCTCCCCGCGCAGTCCTGCGTGTTGGGCCGGGGGGAGGCAAGCTGCGTGTTTGGTCAGGAGCAGGTTATCCCGTGGGTGCTATCAGGTGGCGATGGCGTCTGGTGCATCGCAGCTGCTGCCCGCACCTCCCGGCGCAGCTCCGGTTGCACCATGGCCGCGTCCCAGGGGACACACGCGTGGGGCCGGGCCGGTGGGGGGACAGGCCCGCGTCCCGGGGCTGTGGGTCTGCCTCCACTGGGGACGCCCTCCCGAAACCTGGGGCCGCCAGCGCTCCACCAGGTGAGGTGCACAGTGGCCTTGCAGTCCCTGCCTCCGGCCAGCCCTGCCCACCAGCCCAGAGGGCCGCGCCAGACCCGGGCGTCCTGGGGACCTGGGTGTCGGCTTCAGCCCGCTGGAGGGGAGGCTGGGAGGGAGCAGGCGACAGGATGAGAGCCCTGAAGTCGGGGGAAGCAGAGGCCGCCCATTGGCGTCCACTGGGGAATAAACACGCCAGCCGCACACGGCCCCACGGGACAGCCCGGGTAGAACACATGAACAGGCCTGAGGCCCCAAGGGCGGCCCTGCGACTAGAGCTTCCCGGATGTACGGAGTGTGACGGGGTGTGTGGCCCCGTGCGGTGGGCAGACGGTGTGTGTGAGGGTCTCACCGCAGGATGTCTCTGGCCTTCAGCAAGCGGCCATGCAGGGGAGCCCGCGGGTGCTGCAGGGCGCAGGGGGCGTTGCCCATGGAAGCTTCCTTAGTGGGGTCACCCTGCGGGGATGTGGCTTTGGGAAATGGCCCCAGCCGCGTGCCCAGCCGAGAGCTCCGTCCGGCAGGTGGAGGGTGACAGGGACAGTTACGCTTTCTGGGGTCTTGCCTGTCTCTGCCGCTGTCTGCCCTGCCTGCGGTGTCTCTCGGGGCGGGTCCCTCCCCCTCGCTCTCCTCCTCTCGCCTCCGGCTCCTGCAGGCCTTCCCTAGGAGGCCCCGTGCACGCCCCGGTCTGCAGACCCCGGGCTCCCATGGTGCACAGGCAAGGCCCAGGCTCCTGGGGGTGACGCCCGGGCCCTGCCCGGCCACCTCCCTTTCCTCCCCTCAGGCCCCTGCCTCACCGACCACCTCCACCTCCCGGACAGGGCAGGCAGTGGGGGGCTGGGCGCTTGTGCTGCAGATAGGCCGCTGGGACAGGTCGAGGTTGGGCCTGAGGCTGTCCCGAGGGGCTCCCTGCAGGGCCCCGCCCTGCCGAGGCTGTGCAAGGGGTTCTCCCCCATGTGGAAACCGGAGCCTGGTGACAGGAGTGGGACGGACCCTGGCAGGCAGCTCCCCGCCTAGGGAGCCCACACCCCAGGAAGAACAGTCTGGGCTTGCTGCCCGCCCCTCGGCTGAGCAGGGCCCTGGGTCCCGCCGGGCACGTGAGGCCGTGGGCTTGGTTCCTCTGTCTCGAGGTCCCGCCCTGGTGTCCAGGCTCCCAGAATAAAATCCCCCAGGCGGACCCTGGAGGGAGAGGAGCTGACCAGGCCTGGCGTGGGGGCCGTGTGCGCAGCCCCTGGCTTGGCCTCGCCCACCCTGCTGTCCTCCGGGCCCCCCAGGGCTTCCCAGAGTGCTCTGTGGGTCCCTGGGGTGGGGCCCTGGCGAGGAGCGTGGTCTGACATGGCTTTGGCGTCTCCCCTTCCCGCGCAGGGTGCTGACCGAGCTCGTGTCCAAGATGCGCGACATGCAGATGGACAAGACGGAGCTGGGCTGCCTGCGCGCCATCGTCCTCTTCAACCCCGGTACGGCCTGGCCTGCCTGCCGCCGCGCCCGACCTTGCCTCTGGTGGGCTCCGGGCTCCTGGGTCCCCGCCGACTCCCACCCTCCCGAGCCTCAGAGTCCTCCCCTCACGGAGGGAGCACGGCCACGTGCCTTCTGCTGGCCGTGAGGGCCGGCTGGGGTGGCGCAGCCTCTGCACGGTGGGGCCCGGGGAAGGCGCTTGTCATGAGGGCTCGGTGACGCCGAGCCTTCTGGGCTCTGCCGTGCAGAGCGCTCGCCGTCGTGTGCCAGGACCTTGGCTCCGTAAGAGGCCGTCTGTGTCCTGGAGCTCCTGGTGCTGAGGTTCCACAGCGCGAGCCGTGTTGGGGTGGGGTTAGGCCTGCGGGTGTCCCGGGGTGACCAGCCTCATCCTCTGAGCCTCCGGCCCGGGTGTTCCCGGGGCCAGGGCCCCTGTGGGGCGGGTGCTTCCGTGGCCCCTGGTTTCTCTGCCTTGGCAGCCTCTGAGGTGCACGTCCTTCCCCTAAGTGCTGACGAGGTGCCTGTTTGCGGGTTTGCGGGCGCCGTGCCCGGCAGGGCCTCTTATGAGCAGCCGGGCGGGGCCAGCCCTGGAGGAGCTCGGGGTCGACAGGGAAGTGCCCACTGGCAGCCACGGCCATGTGATGGCAGGGCCACGGCCAGTGTGGTGGAGGGTGTGCAGGCCACTTCCCCCAGGAGGTGGAACTGAGAAGGGGCCCAGGGAGTGTGGGGTGGGCTGGCGGGGGCGGCCGGGCAGGCCCGAGGTCTTGTGAGTTTGGGCGGTGGGATTCCAGCCCTGCGCTGTCCTGGCGGGGGAGGAGCCAGTGCAGACTCACCTCCCTGCCTGCTGTGAGAGGGGTGGGGCTGCGGGAACAGGTTTGGGGCCACCGTGGGGAGCTCACCTGGGCAGAGGTGAGGAGCGGGGAGCCCTGTCCCAGCTCCTGGGCCTGCCTGCGTCCGGGCTGGGGTGGAGACGAGTGTCATCCTGCCGGGAGAGCCTGTTTCCAGCATGTTTTGTCACCCAGCTTTATGCTTCCAGACCGTAATCCTGCCACCTCTGGAGGCTGAGTCATGCCTGGGCCCGGCCCGGTGGAGTCTCCATTCAGGTCCCACGTGGCCTGGCCGCTGGCGCCGGTTCTCCCGTCAGGCCTCCGTTCGGGCTTGCAGGGAGGGGAGAAGCGTGGCCCATTGCCAAGAGCCAGGGGACCCCCGGCCACCACACGTGCCCACTGGGCCACCGGTGCCCTGGAGGTTTTGGCTGCTGCAGCCCCAGACAGCTCTGTCCAATCTGGGCCGTGCTCCCCGGCTCCCGGGGCCTGAGCTCAGCGCTTGATGAGTCTCAGGCTCCGAGGATGGGCGTCCGGGGCCTCTTCCCCCCATGGTGCGGGGCTTGGGGGGAGGTGGTGGTGGCTTCCGTGCCCGAGGGCAGCAAAAGCATCAGTCGTCTCGCCCAATAGCACGGCAGTGGGGGCGAGTAGTGGGCAGATTCCTGATATTTTACCGATGGGGAAACTGAGTCTGTAGAGGTCGAGTGACTGGTCCAAGGTCACGTAGCTGGCAGATGATAGCAGAGCTGAGCTTGGGCCTGGAGCAGCCTGGCCGGGCTCTGCACTCCGCCCTGCTGCTGGCAGCACAGCTGCGCCATCTGCTCTGTGGCGGTGGGGCTGGGGGCCTGGGGGTGGGGAGCGCGCGGACGGCCGTCCGGGGGCAGATTCCTGGCCCAGGCCGCCAGCCTGAGGGCTCTGACCGGGCTGAAGGGCTCTGACCCGAGGCCTCTCCTCCTTGCAGACTCCAAGGGGCTCTCGAACCCGGCCGAGGTGGAGGCCCTGCGGGAGAAGGTGTACGCGTCCCTGGAGGCCTACTGCAAGCACAAGTACCCCGAGCAGCCGGGAAGGTGAGCCCCCTCCCCCACCCCCGCCCCCCCAGGCCCTTTGTGTGCCCGAGACCCTGACGCCTTTCCCGGGCGGGCCCTGAGCAGGCGGCGGGAATCTCTCCAGGCCAACGGCTTGTGGAACCCTCTAGCCCCGCTGGAAAGACTGCCTGGTGCCAGGCGCACAGTAGCGCTGTGTTTGTTGAGTGCGCAGGTGAAGGGTGGGCCCCAGCACACCCCGCCCAAGACAGAGCCGCCAGAGGCCAGTGACAGGGACGCATAGGAGATGCGTTGTGAGCATGTGCAGACCAGATGGGCGGACGGCTGCACATAGTAGGTGCTTTATAAGTGCACGCAGGTCAGCGTGCCCAATGTTTCCACATAGTAGGTGCTTTACAGGCATCGTGGCCTGAGCACAGAGCTTGTCTTTCTTCTGTGCCCGGCTGTGGTCCCCGGGGGCTGGGATCTCGTCTCACTTCCGAGTCCACGGTGCTGGGCGCATAGTAGGTGTCCAGGAGGAGAATCGTCCCTGGATGCTGAGGTTCTAAGTCAGCTCTCCACATCCTGCCCCTTCTCCAGAAAGGGGCATTCCCTGGCTTCCCAGTCTGGGGACTGTGTGCGGGGGTGGGGTGCTGGTGGGGGCCGAGCAGACAGGCACGCTCATGCCCCCGGCCTCCTGGCACACACACGGTTAACTGTGTCCACACTGCCTGCTCAGCCCCGTCTGGTTTGGTTTAAAGTGAAACTTCCCGGAGGACAGGACAGGAGGGTGGCAGGCGGCTTGTTTTTCCTGGCTCCCTGCCCGGCCCATCTCGCCAGCTCAGCAGAAAACAGCTCGTTCTCTGGCCCGGTTCCAGCCTCCGAGCTGTGTTTCGCCTTTCAAGCAAGGACTGCGAGGCAGCCGACCGCAGGGCTTCCCCCTGAAACGAACGGCTTCTTTAATAATTGACGAGGTCCTGTAGCCCCTGGAGGGTCCGTAGCCCCTGGAGGGTCCACGTGGAGAGACCCGGGCAGGGCTCGGGGGAGGCCTGGGGCATACGTGGACATTGCGAGGGGGACACCTGGCCCAGTCCCCACGCCACACTGTTCTGGCGGCAGCTGCGGCCAGGTAGCCTGGCGTGGCAAACCCTGACACACCCCTCAGGCCTCCCAGACTTCTTTCCCTTCCTTGCCCACGAGGCCCCACCCCAGGAGGTTCCCCAGGTGTAGGCGGGGCCCTGAGGAGCCCCCTCCCTCCCTCCTGGCCCTCTGGCCCCAGCCCCCAGAGCTGTATTTGGGGAAGGGCAGCCCAGGTCTGGGGTGCACAGCCCCCTGCGGTGCCGTGGGAGGGGCTTGCTCCTGCACGTAGCTCCCCAGCCCAGGACCGGCTGAATGGCCATCGCCCCACCTTGACTTCTCACCCGCCCCCCAAGCAGCCTGCTCACACCTGTGACTCATCTCCATCATCGCCACGCCTTCCTGCTGGTGGCCCCACTGTCTCGCAGAGGGACAGCTGCTAGACACACCACTGACACTCAGGCCCATTCCTGTAGCTTTCTCCCCCGCTTAAAATCCTGCTGTGGCTCCCAGTGGCCCTCGGAGCAAGCCCGAGTTTCTTAACATCCCCACGAAGCGCTGTTCAGCCCGCGCCAGCTGGCTGCCGTCTGCTGTCCCCGCGTCTCCATCCTTAGACCGGGGGTCTTCCTTCCCGCGCTCCCACCTCTTGGCTGTTGCCTCCTCCGCCTCCTCCTGTCTCAGAGCCCCTCCTTCCTCCCGAAGGCTCAGCGCGGCGGGCAGGTCTCGGCTCAGACCAGGCTCATCCCCTGGGAGGCCGCTGTGTGCCAGGGCGGAGCGTGGGGGAGGCGCCCGCACCCTCACCTGGCCCGGCCCTCACCTGGCCCGCTGTCCCGGCAGGTTCGCCAAGCTCCTGCTCCGTCTGCCGGCTCTGCGCTCCATTGGGCTCAAGTGCCTGGAACATCTCTTCTTCTTCAAGCTCATCGGGGACACGCCCATCGACACCTTCCTCATGGAGATGCTGGAAGCCCCGCACCAGATGACTTAGGCCTGCTGGCCCGTCCTTCCCGCCCACCCGGGCTGGCCGCCCTGCCTGGACACCAGCTGCTCTTCTCAGCCTGAGCCCTGTCCCCACCCTTCTCCGCCTGGCCTGTGTGGACCTTCGGGTGCAGCCGGTCACTGCTCTGCCTGAGAGATGTGCTGTCACCCTCCTCACTGTCATTACGACTCGTCTTTGGCCCAGGGCAGTGGCCTTCCTGGGGCAGCAGCCAGAGTGGCAAGAACTAGTGTGAGGCCGTCGGCCGTGCTGCCATCCCCCCCCCGGGGGGGGGCTCTCCAGGCCCCTGGAGCTGCAGGATCCGGGAAGGGGGGCTTTGTTTCGGTTGCCGTTGTTGCTGGTTCTCACACTCGCCTGTGCAGCCCTCCTGTCCAGAGTGACCCACCTTTGTCTGCTCTGAATACCGGTGCCCGCCAGCCCGGGACAGCCCCCCAGGATCCGGAGGTGGGCACAGGTGGGGCAGGCCGGTGTTTCCTGGCAGAAGACCCCACCGCCCCAGGAAGACGAGGGGACTCTGGGGGCCAGCCGGCTTCCCTTTGCTCAGAGCGAAGGGGGAGCAGCCCCTTTTTCCAAAGATGACTCTCGGTGTCGCCCCCGCGCCAGTGAGAACTCGAGCCGACCTCTGTGCAGGGTCTGGGGCCACTTGGCGGCTGCAGGGCCGGGTCGCTCGCTCGCCCTGGGCTTTCTCTGCCTTGTCTGGTTTCCGGTTCTCCCTCCACGTCCAGCCCAGGTGACCAGACCTGGGTGCACCTGCCTCTCCCTGCCCGGTGTTCTCTCGTCTGCGAGCTGGGCCAAGGCCAGTCCTTGGTTCCTGGGGTGGGGAGGGGGGTGCCCCGTCTCAGGCAGGGTCAGGTGTGGTGGCCTCGCAGCCTTGCTGGGTTGCACGGCTCTGTGACCTGTCATCGGCAGCCGCAGGCCCTCTGGAAGGCCCCCAGAGGTGGCAGGGAGGAGGCTGCTGGCTGCCTTCCCTGCGCGAGAGGCAGGAGGCGGCGGGAGCAGAGGCCTAGTGGACGGACAGCCCTCGCAGGCGGGGCGGATGCCGTGTGGGCCCCGCTCTGGCCGGCTGGTGCATCTAGAGACCCTTGGAATCCTCGCACCATCGGGTCCCAGGGTCCTCAGGCCCCGGCCGTCTCGGGGCCACCCGCCGGTGTTGTCTGCGGACCGTGTTGTTCACCCAGAGCCTTACTCGGGAGCTCGCCTCATTCACGCCCGCGCTGCCGAGGGTGGCGGGCGGGGCCCCCGGCTGAGCCCGTCCAGCCCAGCGCCCCCGGCACGTGCCCCTCGCGCTCCCTCGGTGCGGCTCTCTCAGGTCGAACTAGCCGCTTTTGCACTGGAAGGCCCTCCCTGCGGCCGAGCACCCCACCCTGGTCTGCCTGAGCCGGGAGGGCGGTGGGGTGGCGTGGGGAGGGAGTCTGGTCTTCCCAGCAGCAGCCCTGGCGCAGGGAGTGCGCTGCCTTCTCCTGAAGTCCCTTCCCCACCTGGAACGGAGAGGTGGGGGTGGCCCTGGTGGGGGGAGGGCATGTGGGGAGGGGTGTCCCCAGGGGGTGGGGAGGGGAGGTGGCAGCTGGGAGACCATGGGGAAGAAAGCCTCCCTTCCTGTCTTGGAGTCCCAGCCAGAGCTACCTCGCTGGGCGCCTGGGCGGAGGCTGCAGCTGAGCCTATGCTTGAGACAGCGGCTGTCAGAGATTCCAGAAACATCTTCCTTCCATCCCGACCCCTGCCATCCAACGTGGGGGGCCTCATCCGCTGTCCCGAGGCAGAGGTGGTGCTCGGGGGAGCCCCACGCCTGTGCCAGGGCGCTGGCCGGCTGTCCCCTCCCCCCAACTCTGCCAGAAAGTCTCCGCAGCCTTCGGGGTGTGGTGACGGGCCGGGGGACGTGGGCACTCTGGGGTCCCCTGGTTGTGGGAGGGTCGGAGACGCTGCGCGCTCGACACCCGGTGCCTTCTGCAGCGGCGCACCTTCCTTCACGCCAGCAGCCGCCGGGGCGGGGCCCCCAAGACCGTGGGCCCCTCGGGAATGTCGGTGGCTCCAGAGGAGAACATCCAGGGGCAGGGCCCTCCGTGGCAGGGGTCGGCTTCATTTGGGGACTTTGCCATTCCCGGCCCTGGCTGTCTGTCTGTAAAGCACTGAGGCCCCCCTCCCCAGCCACCCCCTCCCGAATTTGGGGTCCCCGGCCCTTCTGGCGCACGCGGCCTTACCCGCCACCCCACAGTGCGGCCGGCTCTCCGTGGGCTTCCCGCCCCGCCGTGGGTCCTGTCCTTGTCACTACACGTGCAGCGCTGCCCGTCCGCAGAGGAGACACGCGGGGACGGGGCACATACCCGGTAGAGAGTAGAGTTTTATTTAACCAGACCTTCAGTAGTGTTACCAACCTGGCTCAATTAAGGTGATTTCTTTTTGTAATTATTATTATTATTATTTTGGTGGGACAATCTTTAATTTTCTAAAGATAGCACTAACATCAGCTTGTTAGCCACCGCGTGCGTCCCCGGCTCGGCCCGGCTGGGTGGCACGGCTGTCCCGGGCCGTTGCTCAGCCGGCCGCCTCCCTTCCCTGAGGTCCACATGGGGCCCCCGTGGCCGAGGAGTGAAGACGCCAGGACGCCAGGCTCCCGCTTGGCCTGGACGCCACCGCTGTGACGCTGGCGTGCCGGGACATTCCGCCCCGGTTGGGGGGCCTGTGTCAGCTGCCACCCCCCCCCCGCCCTGGAGGCACGCGGTCTCTGGGGGAAGACGGGCCCACGCCCTCGGTTTTCCAAGCCACGACGTTCCCCGAGGGTTCGGGCTGGTGGCCCGGTGGCAGAGAGCCGGAGATGGCCCCGGGGCCCCCGCGGGGCCCGGCTGGAGCGTGCAGCCAGTGGGTAACCGGCTGATGTTGTCCCCATCACAGAGTTGGGGCCCCGTCCACGCAGGTGTGTCGTGCGAACACGTATGTGCTGTACAGAGAGGCGCGTGTGGGGAGCGCCGCACGCCAGCCACATGCAGGCGACGCAAGGTGGCCACCCGTGTTTTGTGTTTATTTTTAATCGAGACTTTCCCCTCGTTTTCCTGTAAATTTGCTTCGTGTAAGCAAGTGCGTAAGGGCCCTCCTTGGGTGAAACCGGGTTCGAGCGACTCTCCAGGCAAGGAGACGCATCTATTTTCAGATGCTTTGGGGCAGACAGCTTTCGCCGTTCCCGCTCTTTAGCGATGCCTTAGCTGGGACGCGTAGCTCATACCTAGAGAGGCTGACAGATCCGCAAAGAGTAGAGATAAGAGAAAATGTCTAAAGCATCGGGAAAGGTAAAAAAAAAAAAAATCTATTTTTGTACAAATGTAATTTTATCCCTCATGTATACTTGGATATGGCGGGGGGAGGGCTGGGGCGTGTTTTGTTTCTGCTTCTAGGGTCGAGGCCACGCTTCCTCGGCGACAGGCGGGCCGCGGAGGCGCGCGGAGGGGCCGCTGCCGGGGTGGGGGGCGGCCTGAGGCTGTCGGGGCTCTCTCCCCCCTTCGAGTGACTCTGCAGCCTCGCTCTGCTCTGGGCCGCACGGCCGCTGCCCCGAGACTGTGGGACTGTGAGGTCACCTCCCCACGCGATGGCTCTCTCAGACGCCGCGGCCCGCCGAGCAGTGGCGGTAGCGTTGTGGAGAAGAAACCGCGAGGAAAACGTGAGAGGAGAAACAAAATATGAGCGTTTAAAAATACATCGCCATTCAGTTCTCGTTTGTTTGTGTGGGCTCTTCCTGTTTGGAGCGGGAGGGCCTGCGGCCGCCAGCCCCCCAGCCCCCTGGCCGGCCCCGAGCGGTGAGACCCCAGTGCCCATCCGGGGCCACGCTCTGAAAGTTCCCGTCCCCTGTCTGCGCGCCCCACAGCTCCCCCAGGTGGCCTGGGCGCTGGGACCCGCCCAGGGGCCTCCGGAGAGGGCCTCTCCTGGCTCCCAGGGCACCAAGCGTGTGGGCACTTGCGAAGCCCGTGTGTGAGCACCGGCTCCACCCCAGGCTGCCGGCGCCGGGCTCTGCACCCCTGCTGGCCTGAGTGGGCAGGAGGTGCACACAGGTGATGCCACCTAACTGCCCAGTTAATAGACGGATGGCTCTGTCTGCACCTTCTCCTGTGACCGTCCCTCTGTCTCCATGGGGCCGTGCTGCCCCTGGCCTGCAGTCTGCTGCTGTCCCGAACCCGCTTACACTCCCCCGTCCAGCCGGGCACCCTCCTGGGGGGGGGGGCGCCAGGCGCTCTGAAGACCGGCCTGGGCCTGCCCCGTGGCGGGGGACAGAGGGTAGTGTGACTGGGCCCCGTGTCAGGTGGCTGCTGGGTTGAAACTTAGGCCAGCCACCCTAAGGGCAGGGCCTCCTCACGTCACCCCCCATGAGCGTGTGCAAGCTAACACACATACACACATGTGCACGAACATGCTCATGTGCACCCTAACACACATTGCGCTTGCAAGTTCATGTGCACATGCTCACACATTCGCACACATGCACAAACCCACTCATGCACCATAGACTCACGTGTTCAGACACACCCATACATGCTCACACATGCACAGCCTGAACTCACACACACCTGCACATGCTCACACATGCACAACATGAACTCACACACCTGCACATGCTCACACGTGCACATGAACTCACCCTCACATGCACAACCTGAACTCTCACACACCTGCACATGCTCACACATGCACAACCTGAACTCACCTGCACATGCTCACACATGTACAACATGAACTTACCCTCACATGCTCACACATGCACAACCTGAACTCACACACACCCGCACATGCTCACACATGCACATGAACTCACCGTCACATGCACATGCTCACACGTGCACAACATGAACTTACCCTCACATGCACAACATGAACTCACACACACCTGCACATGCTCACACATGCACAACGTGAACTCACACACGCCTGCACACAGCTCCAGAAGCACAGCAGCAGGGCCAGGCCGAGCCAGCCCCCGAGGTGCAGCCGGGACCCCGCGCCGACATTCTCCCACTCGCTGGAGTGTGCTGAGGGGCAGCTGCACCCTGAAGCTCTGGGCCGCCCCCTGGGCCCCCAGCCGTGGCTAAATGGGTTCCAGGGGGATGCAGAAGACAGACACAACCTGCCGTCTGCTTAGGAGACGCAGCCAGCCCTTGCTAGGGCCACCGAGGATC